CATGAATTATACGCTCGGTGTCAAAGATTATTTTTATTATTTTTTCTTTTCATTAAAATTATTTATATATATAATAATAATTATATATTATATTAATATATATAATATTATATTATTAGTAATATAATAATATATATTGTATAATATATTATTAATATAATATTATGTAGAATAAAATTAGAATAATAAATAGAAAATGAGTTACGTTAAATTCGTGTTAATTTTGTAAAATTTTAAATTGAATTTAAATAGGAATTATATATAAATTATATGAACAATTTTTGAATCCGATATTCGTCGTAGTCATGAAGTGGTAATTGATTTAGTCGAGTAAAATAATTTGACATGTTTAATAGTAACATGTCTAAGTTAAAAGTTTTGAACTAATCGCAAACGTTAAAGTTTTATGTTAGATATATGTATATGTCATAATGTTTATACGTGTTACCATTACATTTCTCGTACATTTGAATAGAAAACTTCATTTAATACTACGAAACACTTCATTTAACACACGTGAAACACGTGTAATAAAGAATATATATATATATATGAGAAAAAATAGAAACAACTCTCGTTTATGAAAAGAAAGAATGAAAAAAAAAAAAAAACATACACGTGTAAAAAATTTCATGTAACGCGACGAGCGTATAATCCCTGAAGCTTTTTCGAATTGTGCTTGAGAAATACAACGTTGAGGAAGAAGCCAATTACGGTTTAGTAAAACTGATGCAAAAGGATAAAAATATTGCATGGAAACGTTGAACATATGTACATTCATGCATTTATGTATTTGTATTTAGTTTTTATTTCAATATATATATATATATATACATACATATGCATATATAATAAAATACAACATGCAACACATAAATTTATCCTAGGTGCAAGCAAATGTGCAAAATAATTAAAGAAAAATATTATATACAACCCTTTTTGGTCACATATATATATATACTAAACCACCACCAGCATATTTTTTAATACACATGACCAATTTCAGGAATGAACAATACATTGAATACATTGATTTATTTTTAATCCTATAATCTCATTTTATTATTGAATATTTCTTTTTTATAATCGGAATATTGATCAATGGATAAACCATGGTTTTTTATATTTATTAATCTATACACTATCAATTTGTTTTAAATATATATTTATTGTAGTATTGATTAATGTTTTTGAATGATTTATACTATTTGTATATGTGTGAATTGGTTATTAAGCAAAGTTGGAATTTATTATTATTTAATTAAAAATACTAGGCTAAATATTATACTAAATATATTAGTTATTTTTATTTTATTTATAATAATATTATGTTAATTATGTATTGTGAGTATTCCAGTTTTATTCTACAAAATTTTAACAAACATATTCTATAAGTAAAAATAAGAAGAAAATAAAATGTGGTTGATAAATCAGTGCAAAGTATTAGAAAAATTAATTGATTAATTAATAATTATTTTGTTTAAAAAATTTTTTAATTTTTTAATATATAAAAATATCAATAGTTGACAACAATATTCAAAAATATCAAAGTGTCATTAATTTGAATATAAAATAATCGTAAATTCCTACATTGATTATAGAACATAATCCAATCATGTTATACAAATTATAATACAATAAATCAAATAAATAAAATATTAAAAATCTAATAAGAATCTATTTTCCAAGAGGATAGAAAAAAGTAATAAACAATTTATTTCAAATTATACTATAATTATTTATCGTTTATTATATTAATTATACTATATTAATTTATTATTTATTAGAATAATTATAAAAAGTAATTATTGACTTGACAATGAAATAATTGTAGATTTGACCAATCATTTTCCTTGAAAAATCTGCAATTACTTAGTTGTCAACCCAATACAAATTTGTATTGTTCATCCCTCAGGATTGTTAGTTTTAATTTATTTCTTTTTATTATTTTTTATTTGTGTATGTATTCAAACATATAAAAAGTAGCACAACATCGATTGGTGATACAACGATAAACAATTAATATTAAAAGTTACAAACAATAAGCATGTTTTTTGTTTTTCTTTTTTTTTGTTTTGTTTTGTTTTGTTTTGTCAAAGGTGCACGAATGAAAATTATGAAAACGTATATAGTTGGTTGAAAGTATGTAAAACCGCGATAAAAGGGTTGCAAAAATTTTCGTTCGATCGATTATTACCCTCCATCCTAAATTTCCTAGCGCGTATAAACAACCCACCAACCAACCAACCACCCACCCACCTACCTACCTACCTACCACTACTACCACCACTTTACATCTTTTTCCTGACGATAAATTTTGCACGAGAGAGAATTCTCGTTTTTACGATCGGTCGGTCGCGGTCGTTCATCGTAAATTAAACCACGCACGAATTAATCGAGATTTTGCCTCTTTTTTTTATCTTTTTATCTTTTTATCTATTCTTTTATTTTTTTTTTCTTTTCTATTTTTAATTTACAAAGAGCACACCGAATTATTCTTTCAATTGAAACGAAATTTTGTTGCAATCGGCAAAAAGTGGTTGGGTGTCAACTACTCTCGTAAAATCTTTTTTATCTTTTTCTTTTTTTTTTTTTTATTTCTGTACATTGTATTTTTCAAAACTAAAAGCTTCTATTTTTTTTTTATTATTTTAATTATTTTTTAACGAACTTTAATTGTTAAATCTCGTTAAACACGTGACAGTAAAATATTAAGTTGTTAAAAGTCGAATTGAGATTTGATTTTTTTGTTTTATTTCAATTAAAGTGGCACAATTTGGAAGTATAATCAGAATTTCGGAATTGATATCTTTCGTTAAAAAAAAAAAAAAAATATTGCTGATTAGTATTGTTGATAATGTTGATGATAATGAACGTGTAATTTATAAATTACAAATAAGAAGAACAAAATTCTAGCGTGTTTGATTAAAAAAGGTGATTTTAGGTGTCACAAAAGTATTCGTATCCACCATCTAATTGTTTAACGATATTTAAATAAATATTACAATTAATAAAAATTAATTGTTAAATTGTTTAATTAAAAATTGCCATTTTTAAAATTATTGACACCAATTGACAGTGGTTATATATACTTTTGTGAATTATAATGTAATATATAACATGTGAGTAGAAAAAATATATGTACGAATGTAAGTATAATTATAATAATAATAATAATAAGAATAAGAATAAGAATAAGAATAATAATGATAAATAATGATAAAAAAAAGTAATAAAAATAATAATAATATTAATAGAAAAAAATAGAAGAAAAAATAAACATGCAAAAGATTAATAAATATGAAATAAATCTAAACCATTTACATACCATCTTCTTTACACAAATCAACTGAAATATATATCAGGTTACCATTTAATATTATTGTCGATTTTTATTTCAAATACTGATTCAAATTATGTTTATTAATTGTTAATTTTCTTTTTTTTTTTTTTTTGCTAATAATCGAACGTGAACGTTTTTATTTATTTATTTATTTATTTTTTTTTTATTTGTTAATTTTGGCAGCAGATGCAAGGAAGAAAGGAAGACCAAAATTATGATTGACAATTATTTTTGATTTTTATTGTTGTTGTATTTGTAACACTTTGATAATTAATAATGTTAATATCATTTGTACGTAGTACTATATATATATATGTATATATATGTACTCGTAATTTATTGGAAAATGTGCCAGTTAATTGGACGTCATTTGGTGGTTAAATGTTCATAGATAGATCTGTCGATGTTCTGCCGGATTCGTTTTAACATTTATTCTATATTTCTCATTGTTTATAATATTATTATTGATATTATTATTATATACATGTAATATATACGTTTTGTCGTATATTTATTTTACAAATTATTTCTTATCGTTATGATTCAATTTATAATTAATTGGAATATAAAATTATAATTTGTTTAATTGGAATGAGTTTTATAAAGAAAAAAAAAAAAAAGAAAATGCAACAGTTCATCGTTCTCTATCGATTATTTTGTTATCGATGCAAATAAATGGACATTTGTTTTTAATTGCAACGATAAATTTGCTTATCTCATTCGTAATTTAAAAAACAAATTTATTATTGATTATTAATTTTGTTGTTGTTGTTGTTTTAATTTTCAAACAACGTTTTATCATTTTATCATTTATTACTAATAAAATAAAATGTTTAAGGGTGAGGGGAACAATTTAAATATATGTATATTTAACAGAATAAACTATCGTAATAATACTTCATAAAATTCATAATAATAATATTTAATAAAATTAAAAAGATATCAAAAAAAAAAAAAATGAATATATAAAAATTGACAAAATAATTTTTTTCAACAGCATGATTGAAATATATGCGGTTTACATTAAATTGATAATATTATCTCAAATACTTCAGCATTCCAAAACAATATATAGGCTTCCAACTATGCAGTAAAAAAAAAAAAAAAAAAA